CAGCTCTTCAGCTCAAGGCGAGTGCTCTACCACTTGAGCTACAGCGCCACTTCCGGTTTTCTGGTGGTTTATTGGAGATAGGAGTCTCACGGTCTCTCCGGGCTGGCTTTGAACCGCGATCCTCAGATCTCAGCCTCCTGAGTAGCTAGGATTACAGGCATGAGCCACCGGTGCCCAGCTGAAGACATGTCTCTACAATGCAGATGCAGTAATGAAACTAGCATCCTCCTGAAGTGGAGGAAGTGCTGCTACAATTTCAAGGTGCAAATGCTGCATTTCAGTGTCAAAGGGCCCATGCCACCGAGCAACAAAACTGGTTTCTCCACCTTTTAAATATTTTTTGGTCAGTTGTGGGGCTTGAACTCTGGGCCTGGGAGCTGTCCCTCAGCTCTTCAGCTCAAGGCGAGCACTCTCTCACTTGAGCCACAGCACCACTTCTGGTTTTCTGGTGGTTAACTGGAGATAAGAGTCTCACAGACTTTCCTGCCCAGGCTGGCACTGAACAGCAATCCACAGATCTTAGCCTCCTGAGTAGCTAGGATTACAGGTGTAAGCCACTGGTGCCTGGCTTTCTCCACCTTTTAAAACCGAGTCTATTGTACTAGCCTGGTTCTGTAGCTTATAAGCTTTACTTGAACTTTACTTTGTGGGCTTTTGTTCCAAATCTATCCTGATTCTACTGAAGAACATTAATAGAATAAAATTCAAACATTTCATTCTATTAACAAAACCAGTAAATTATTAAATGCAGAAAAGCTATTCCATAAAAATACTTTTAATTACAGTAAAAATTTTCAAACTACAGTTGACAAGAATTAATTGCATATTTCAAAATAGCTAATAGGGAGAACTGAGAATGTTTACAACACAAAGTAGTGTGTGGAGTGATACCCCAATCATATTATTACACGTTATGTACAAGAGTATTCCATAAATATGCATATTTACTATGTCTCAATTAAAAATACAAGATATACTCAAAAAAGACTTAAGTAAATAATCTAGTTTCAGAGTTGCTTGTTTAAAATAAAAAGATGATTGGAAAAAGAGGATTAAAAAGTCAGGGAAAAGAAAAAGAAGCAGAAAAAACAAAACAAAACATCTTCACCTAGTCCTACACTGAATAAAAAACATATAAACCACAAATACATCAGCTTGTCATACTTAGGATACAGGAAAGATGATAGTGACTTGGGAAACACCCTGACTCTGCCACTTTGTACCAAAGGCCCGAGAGAGGGCTTAGAAAAGATTGCCCAGTCTTCCATTAATAACCAAATTAAGAATCAAGCCTATATGTTGTTTCCAGCTAAAGGATTTTATATATTGCTGCTTCTCTAGAACCCACCAGAGGAGAATCTGTCTGTCAAACCCTTTACGAAATTTGAACTTGCCTGGCCTAGTAGACTACACTTGGGTGAGCCTTCTTGGGACAGGCAAATCTTTGATATACAGATTTCTCTTAGTCTGCTTCATTGTTTTGGGGGCTGAGGAATTCTACCAACAAACCAAGAAGATGTACATCAAAGTAGATGACCAATGTCTCCAGCAGATTAATAACCACAGGCTGACCCAAGTCTATCTCTGACCATATCTCCAGCCCTCAGGAACATAGAGAAATGAGGATAGAAAGCTCTTACATTGCACACTAGACCCTGATTCACTACAATTGCCATCATGAATTCCAAAGTCAAACTTCTGAAGATCAAAACAATACAGAGATTTTAAAACAATTTTCAATTTATGAACTGAAAAGCTCAGTGTCTATGTGGTGACTACCGACTGGAAGTAGCTGGCCCTTTCTCCAGGAGAATTTCAGGAGAATTGAGTGGCTAGGGAAGAACAGTGTCTTTTCTTTACTAGAAATGATGATGTAGGCTTTACCTAGAGCTAGCCTGGCTGTTACTTTTATGCATTTCTCTTACATCATTAGGAACCAGAACTTACACCTCCCTTTTAAAGCTGTGGGCAAGTTGAATTTTAAAACTTGGACACTCTAGACCAAGTCCAAAATGTGTTAAGAGACAAGTAAGTTAAACATTCTTTTTTCAAAATTCCTAGGCCTCCAGCTGTAGAAAATGAACTAAAACAAAATATGACCTAACTTGGCCCACTTTTCATGGAAAAAGAAAACAAAGGGGGCTGGGAAGGTGGCTTAGTGGTAGAGTGCTTGCCTAGCATACATGAAGTCCTGGGTTCGATTCCTCAGTAACACATAAACAGTAAAGGCTAGAAGTGGCTCAAGTGGTAGAGTACTAGCCTTTAGCTAAAGAAGCTCAGGGACAGTGTTCAGGCCCTGAGTTCAAGCCCTAGAACTGGCCAAAAAAAGAGAAAGAGAGAGAGAGAGAGGAAGAAAGAAAGAAAGAAAGAAAGAAAGAAAGAAAGAAAGAAAGAAAGAAAGAAAGAAAGAAAGAAAGAAAGAGAGAGAAAGAAAACAAACAAAGGAGTTCCTACCTCGCTCTTAACAGACAGAGCAGGGGTTTGAAATCTGTTCATCACTGTTCATTGGGCCAACGCAGTCTGTAAACTACCAGACAAATCAACAGGGCCTTTCTCCTCAGCACAGCTTGGTATTTCTGAGAAAACCCAAAGGATTGCAAATGCAACTGTTATCTCCATTCCCACTAGAGCTGTGTCACTCTAAAATGAGCCAGCTCTGCTATTTCCACTCAATGTTGGTCTTTTGCTTCTCTTGCATTGCCAGTCTTCACTGTCCTGGTCAGTGCTTTCAATGCATCTTAGCTGGCTGGCTGAGTGCTCAAGGACATAACTGCTGCTCCCCATGCCATCTTGATTTGCATTGTCACAAATCTGCTCACTCATCCCAGGGATGCACAAACCACCTGGAGAAAGCATCTAACACAAAGACCTTTTTATAAGCCCATACATAAAATAACCAATCATCAAAGCAAACTTTATCTGGTAGTCAACTTGGAAGGAAAAACACTAATGCCTAATAAAGTAACTCTCACCAAACCTGTTTTAGCACCACTGCCACCTATGACAGAATTTTTTTGACCATCTCCATGACATGCTGATTTCATGCACATTCAAGAACAAACCAAAATGGAAGAGGAAAGACAAATACCAAAAAGACTGGAGGGTTAAGACAGCACAGGATTCTGCAAGCAGGTTCTGAAAGCAGTAAATAAACAAGAGGGTAAGGTTGGGGGCCAAAATAGGTAGCTGGCCAACAGGCCAGACATGGAGCAGGCCAGACATGGAGCAGGCCAGACTGTCACCAGCCCTGTCGGAGAGTTTAGAAGTTAATGTAGAGACTTGGTAGAATTAATAATATATGGAACCAGAGGCACTCTCAAGAGATTATAACCAGAAGACTGGCACTCTGAGAGGAAAAGGGGACTTACCTTGGCAAGCACAGCTGTCATCACACCCAGGAATGTGAGCAATAGGAGCCCAATTTTTCCTTTGTTGAACTGTTTCAGCAGGAAGAATTTTGCCCAATCCACCTTTGACTGACTGTTGGGTGGATATCTGAGTTTGTTAGCACTTTCTCTCTTTAAGCTTTTTAATAAACAGGGACGTTGATGAGAAAAGGTGTCAAAAGTATGTTTTCCATGGTATGCTCCCATACCACTAGAACCTGCAATAAAGGAACAGACAAAACAGATTTGCTGTAGATGAACACTGGCTACAATGGTGACCCCATCCCACTTTTGTGCAAGCAAAGCGTCTTTTCAGGTAATCTTTCCCAACTTTGTCTCCTCATTCCACCAGGATGTTGTCCAGGAGCACAGCAAGGATCTGCAGTCCTTCTATGGTTGTGGTGCCCCTTATATCAGGGAGTTTAAATGGATGTCTATGATGGCTCTCACAACCACCCTATTGTACTGGGTGTTCCTAGCTGTTTCCAGCCAGAGAAGAAAAGGAGTTTATAGTCAGATAATCTGCTCAAAGTCACATGTCTGGTAAAGAGGAAGATAGAATATGAACTTGGATCAGTCTAAATACTGCATGTGTTCTTTTCTTATCATTCCATGAGGCTTTATTAATCCATGGCCCCACTCACCCACTGGTCTTTCAAGCCCACAACTGAGAACAAGCAAGTAAAAGTTCTGCCTTTTAAGAGGTTATGCTTTGTTACTGTTTTGTAACTTTGTTATTGTTCTATAACTCACTAGGTGACAAGAGACTGGCAGGTGCAAGGGAGGAAGTGTGTGTGTGGGACAGGAGGAACCACAGTGCTGGAAGGCAGGCTGAGTGCAGGACAAGCTGAAGTTGACTGGGGCTGGGCTGCAGTGAATACTCAGTGTTCCAGTGGCAGCTGAAGCTGAGGGAGGGGGGTCATTCAGGAAGGGAGGCTGGTTCAAGAAAGGACCTGAGATAGAACCCTGAGAACCCTAATTGTAAAGGAGCACAGAGGACGGCTAGCCAAAGGTGTGACTAAGGTAGGAGGGAACTGGGAAAATAAGTGTGCCAACTGCTTAAACAGTACTTTAAAGTGAAAATACAAGGCAGACAACAGACATGAAGGGAACTATCAAGTTTTATATGCAGATATAAAACAGTATATAACATGAGAAAACAGAACTTGTTCTTCTTAAGAGTCCACATATCAAAGATGCAAATTCTTTCCACAATAATTGATTAGTTTTAAAGAAATTTTAATCAAAGTCTTTAGGGATTTCTCAAGTTCATCTGGAAGAAATAACAAAATAAAAAGAAAACCTTAAGAATGACCCACGTATATATGTTTTTACTAAGGAAAGATGATATGAGAACAATTATTATCAAACAATGATCCCATGTGATGATGAACTTAATATTTTTTCTAAACTAGACAGATGAATTTTTATCAGAAGCAACAAAATTATCTATCTATCTATCTGGTACCAACATAATTGGCTTACTCTTTGGGGGAAAAAATAAAGGTAAATCTTTTCTTTTGGGCAGTAATAGGGTTGAATTCAAGGCCTCACACTTGTTAGGCAGGTGCTCTACCACTTGAACTACTCTACCAGTCCTTTTGTATTGGTTATTTTTGAGATAAGAGTCTCACTTTATGTTCAGCTTGCCTAAACTGCAATCCTCCCATTATACTTCTCATCATAGCTGGAATGACAGCATTCCATGGAACCCAAAGATTGATTAACATGGAGTGTCAAAACTTTTTGCCCAGACTAGCCTTGAGTCATGAAGCTTCAATCTCTGCCCCCCAAGTAGCTAGGATTACAAGCATGGACCTATGTACCCAGTCTTAAAGTCTGATTCTTACTTTTGCATAGGCTGAGAATTGTGGATCCCAAAATAAACTCCATAGTTAAATATAAAATATAAATTAGAAAATTAAAATATTATAGATGAATATTCATAAATGCTGAAATAGGGAGACTTTTTTTTTGGGGGGTCCGGTCGTGGGCCTGAACTCTGGGCCTGGGCGCTGTCTCTCAGCTCTTCAGCTCAAGGCTAGCGCTCTACCACTTGAGCCACAGCGCCACTTCCAGCCTTTTCTGTTTGCTTATGTGGTGCTGAAGAATCGAACCCAGGGCCTTGAGCATGCAAGGCAAGCGCTCTACCACTGAGCTACCTTCCCAACACCTAGGGAGACTTTCTAGGCCAGATGAGAAACCAAAGGTCTTATGGATTTGATTATGTAAATTTCAAATCATAGATAAAATGGAAAGACAAATTACAATATAAAAAGAATTATTTGTTACAAACATGACAGATTTTCTTATTTAAAAAAAAAAAAAAAAGCCCCTAGCTGGGCAGACTCTAGCAGCTCAATCCAGAAATATTTGTTACAAATGTAACAGAATTTTCTTTTTCTGTTTTTAAAATTAAGTTTTTATTGTGAAAATACTGTACAGAGGGGTTACAGTTTCATGAGCAAGGTAATGAGTACATTTCTTATCCAGTATTGTTGCCTCCTCCTTTGTTTTTCCTCTACCATTCCTTCCTTCCCACCTCCGCAGCCACACACTCCCCCCCATTTCTTTTTCTTTTCATTGGCCATGGGGCTTGAACTCTGGGCCTGGGTGAACGGCTCAGAAGTTTATTTCTTTTAAAAAAAGCTGGGGGGCTGGGAAGGTGGCTCAGTGGTAGAGTGCTTGCCTCACATGCATGAGACCCTGGGTTTGATTCCTCAGCACCACATAAAGAGAAAAAGCCAGATGTGGTGCTATGGCTCAAGTAGCAGAGCGCTAGCCTTGAGCTGAAGAGCTGAAGGACAGCATCCAGGCCCAGAGTTCAAGTGCCAGAATGGACCAAAAAAAAAAAAAAAAAAGCCCGGCGCCAGTGGTTCATGTGCCTGTAATCCTAGCTACTAAGGAGGCTGAGATCTGAGGATTGAGGTTCAAAGCCAGCCCCAGTACAAAAGTCCATGAGACTCTTATCTCCAATAAACCTCTAGAAAACCAGAAGTGGTGCTGTGGCTCAAGTGGTAGAGCACTCACCTTGAGCTGAAGATCGCAGGGACAACGCCTAGGCCCAGAGTTCAAGCCCCAGTACCAACATAAAAACAAAGTCCCCAGCTAGGCAGGCTCAAATGGCTCAATCCAGCCTGTAATCCTACTTACTCAGACAGATCCAGCTCACAGTTCAAAGCCAGCCTAGACAAGAAAGTTCACAAGACTCTTATTCCAATTAACCACTAAAAAACTAGAAGTAGAGCTATGGCTCAAGTGGTAGAAAGCAAGCCTTGAACAAAAAAACTTAGGGACAGCACCCATACCCTAAATTCAAGTCCCAGGACTGGTGCATATGTGTGCGCGCACACACACAAAACATAGCCCTCACACATAAAAAAGGAAAAAGTAACCAGAGCAAAAATATCAAGTAAAAATGAAATAAGCAAAATGATGAGGGAACTAATTGTTTTTGTCAGTGCTGAGGCTTGAACTCTAGGCCTGGGCACTGTCCCTGAGCTCTGTTGCTCAAAGCTAGTGCTGTACCACTTTGAGCTACAGCTCCACTTCAATTTTTGAGTGGTTAATTGGAGATAAGTCTCATGGGGACATTTTTGCCCAGGCCAGCTTGTGATCCTCAGATCTCAGCCTCCTGAGTAGCTAGGATTATAGGTGTTGAACCATCAGAGCCCAGCAAGAGAACTAATTTTAAAAGTTCAATCTTATTAATAATGAAAGGAATACAAATTAAAATGAGATGTTTCTTTTTTTGTATAGCAATTTTATAAGTGAATAGTCCTCTTTAGAAAGACTGTCTCTTCTAATAATGTCTTGGAAGTATGAGGTGATACAACTTGCAAGATATATGGCAGTATGGGGCTGGGAAGGTGGCTCAGGGGTAGAGTGCTTGCCTTGCATGTACAAGGCCCTGGGTTTGATTCCTCAGCACCACATAAAGACCAAAAGCCAGATGTGGTGCTGTGGCTCAAGTGGTAGAGCGCTAACCTTGAGTTGAAGAGCTGAGGGACAGCGCCCAGGCCCAGAGTTCAGGCCCCACCAAAAGCACTTCTAGAGAAAAAAACTAAACTTCATGTAAAATAATAGCAATGCTTATGCCTGGGAGGTTATTGCAGTTGTCCTTATAATGATCTATGATGCCTGGTTTAATTGCTGAGATTTTCTTCTTTTAATCATTAAGTCTATGTTACTTTTAGAATCTGAAGGGGAAAAAACATTTCATTTAGAATAAAAAGCGAATAAGCACTTTAAACACAATATTTATATTCCCAACATATTTCTTTTTTTTTTTT